GGGAGTTGAAAGTTTGGGAATTTGAGAATTTCGGGGTTGAAAATTTGGGAATGAGAGAATTGTGGGTGATGCAATTTTAGAATTTGAGAATTTTGGGGAGTTTGAAATTTGGGTTGATGGAATTTGGAAGATTTGAGAATTTGGGGGGTTGGAAATTTGGAAGTGTGAGAATTCGGGGTGATGGAATTTTAGAATTTGAGAATTTTGGGGGTTGGAAATTTGGAAGTGTGAGAATTCGGGGTGGTGGAATTTGAGAATTTGAGAATTTGAGGGTTGGAAATTTGGGAATGTGAGAATTCGGGGTGATGGAATTTTAGAATTTGAGAATTTTGGGGAGTTTGAAATTTGGGTTGATGGAATTTGGAAGATTTGAGAATTTGGGGGGTTGGAAATTTGGAAGTGTGAGAATTCGGGGTGATGGAATTTGAGAATTTGAGAATTTGGGGGGTTGGAAATTTGAAAATGTGAGAATTGGGGGTGACGTAATTTGGAAATTTGAGAATTTATTTGGAGAGTTAAAAATTTGAGGTGCTGGAATTTCAGAATTAGGGAGTTGGGGTTGTGGTTGGAAATTTGATAATTTGTGGAATTGGAAATTTATGCACTTGCAAATTTGAGAAGCGTAAAATTAGAAAATTTGAAAGTCTGAGAAATTTTGTATATTTTACAATACGAGAAATTTCCTTACCCTTAAAGTTGAGAATTTGAGAATCTTGTAAAATTTCAAATTTCAGTATTTAAAGAATTATATATTTTTGAACTGTAATCCACAAAAGTATAACATTAATTCAGTTACATGTACCATGTAACATTTCCTCGAAACTATTGGTAACATAGTCATTATAAACTAAATTATCGCGTTAGTTGTACGGTGAAGCAATCGACGCAGCGAGTGGCAACATCTGCGTTGTGGTATCGCTAGTTCAAAGTAATTTCTTGAGCATTAGTTACACTTGAGATGTGGTAAAAGTGGGATTGTACCGTATTTCTGGCTTAAACAGAAATCTTGCATCTATTGTAAAACATTTAGCAAAAAAATATTTATTTGAAATTACATTAAACTAAATGTTGAACGTATCATCTGCAAGTACAAATTATTAACCCCCTTTGCTTCAATGTACTCATTTGGATACACGGTATTCATTGAATTTCATAAAACATGAAACGTACACATGTGTTCCCATTGTACTCGTATGAGTACTAAAATTTATAATTTCTAACCCTCCAAATTCTCAAATTTCCAAATTTCTAATCTCTCAAATTTGAAAACGTACCTTTTCTGCATAATTACTCTAACCTAACCTAACCTCTCCGCTTGATAATCGTCCGAGTAACAGCACAAATTTTCCCCAAAAAAAAGTTTGCAGATAAATACGAAAATCCGTAAAAATAGCTATTCAGCCTAATTACAAAAAATTGAGAAAAGTACATATTCCGTGTAATAACCAAACGCGGTAACAGGCATAATGGAAAGCGTAAACGTCGATCAGCAATGCGGAGACAAGAATCGCTTCAGCTATCGTCCGGTTGTTTAATCAGCGGCGCGGATGTTGTCAGGGTACGGTTTCGAACCGGCGCCAGTTTCGACCGCGAACGGCAATATTTTCAGCGGCTACCTCGCGATTGCTGCTAATTTCATTCGCCAGAGCGGTTGGTATTAATTTTCGCTGGTGGCCGAAACAAGCGGTGGCGAACGTTCAATCCGTTCTGTTTCGCTGGGTCGGCAGGAAACGGCGTTAATTTTACGCCGCCCACCGCCTTCTTCGACCGTTTGCCGAGAACCTGTCACTTGGTTCGTCTCGTTGCACGGCTCGCTAATTCTGTCCTCGATCGCGAGCGACGTTCTACATACGATCTGTCTCGTTGCTGTCACTCCTTTCACCGGGAATAACGCTAATTTTGACCACCGTCGGTGTTTACGCTAGACGTCCCTCCACGGGATCGGCCCTTTTGATCGATCGTCGCCGCTCGTCTGGAAATGGTCGGTATCTACGCGAAAAATGACGAGTATCCGGCTAAATTTGCCCTTTTACTTCGGGGATCGTAAATAACCTCGGTGGAACGTTTCAGACCTCGGTACGAATGTTCTTTCTCTATTCGGTTTTAGGAGTATGAGTTTCTTCAGTTCGCGAATTCTCGTGTTTTATGGTTTGTGATTTATAAATCCAGCAATTCTGCAATTCTCAATTTGTAACAATTACCGATACCATAATTTCCAACTTCGGTTTCCAATTTCAAATTACACTATTCGGAATTCTCAGCAGCACAATTCCCTATTATGCAAAATTCAATTCCATAATTACTAACTCCACCACACGCAATTTCACAATTCCTAATTCCGCAGATTGCAATTCCAAAATTCCCAATTCCGCAGATTGCAATTCCACAATTCCCAACTCCACAGATTGCAATTCCACAATTCCCAATTCCGTAGATTGCAATTCCACAATTCCCAACTCTACAAATTGCTTTTCCATAATTCCCAATTGCACCACACGCAATTCCACAATTCCTAAATCCACGAATTGCAATTCCACAATTCCCAATTCCACAAATTGCAATTCCACCATTCCCAACTCTACAAACCGCAATTCCACAATTCCCAATTCCGCAAATTGCAATTCCATAATTCCCAACTCCACAAATTGCAATTCCACAATTCCCAACTCCAAAAATTGCAATTCCACAATTCCCAACTCCAAAAATTGCATTTCCATAATTCCCAATTGCACTACACGCAATTCCACAATTCCTAATTGCATCACATGCAATTCCACAATTCCCAATTGCAAAAATCATAATTCCACAACTTCCAATCCCATCACCCCCAATTCCACCACACGCAATTCCACAATTCCCAATTGCATCGCCCGCTGTTCGATCATTTCATATTTTAATTCTGCAATTGTCATCTTCACAAATTGCAATTCCAGAAACCCCAATTCCATGAATCTCAATTGCATGATCTCCAATCCCACACATCGCAATTCCCAACTCAGCAAATTCCAGTTCTACAGTTCCCAATTGCAGCTTGTTAAATTTTCAAATCACACAACTCGACAGTTCCATAATTCTACAATCCCTCAGTTCCTGAGTCCCACAATTCCTGAACTTCAACACTGATTCTCAATTCCAAAATTGATGAGTGTAGAGATTTGTATATTTCTTACACTGTCAGTTATCGATTCTCGGCTCCGAAGTTTTCCTTTTATCGAAACGATTAAACAGAAATGGCAATGTTATCCGCAGTAGCATTACAGTACCAGTTAGCAATAAGTTCGTTCTCGTCGCGAAGTCAATCTCCTGGAGCGGTTCGAGCGCTTCCGGTGTTAACTACTCGTTGAGCAGAGCTTGTCGATCGTTAATTTCAGAGGCGAGAAAAAAGTCGACGAGCGAGTTACCGTAAATAAATTTGCATAGTCGTTTCGATGATCGATGGAAGCTCGTTTTTAGCGGCGAAACAGGAAGAGAGAGTTCCTGCTACTAATAGCTACACGTTCTTGTTGTTTTAGCGTTTTGTCCTTCTTTTAGTGCCGCTCGAAAAACTTCTCGCTTCGAAAGATTTGTCCGAAGTCGATTTCCGAACATTCGTTCTTGTTCGACGACCCTCTAATCTGTTGGACAAATTGAAGTTACGCTTTGTACATTGTTTGGGAACACATAGTTCGACGGCTGTTCTATCCATAGCTACGAAAGTACGTTCTTCAAAGTTTAACTCGATAGTATTGCTTTTTTGACTGTTGGGGGGACGTGTGTTTGATGTTGTTTGTGTTGGGAAGTTGAGCGGCAGGTTGTTTATTCGGTGTGCTGTAGAATGTGTTATTTGTTTGACGTGGAGTGGCATCGATGCGTTGTACAATCAACCTAGTATTTATTAGACACGTTGTATGATCAAGTTGTTTAGTAGACGCGTTGTACAATCAACGTGTTGTACAATCAATGTGTTGAACTATGCGTTGTGTAATTGTCGCGTTGATGTACCATACGTTGGCCAATTGTCGCGCTGTACAATCCACGCGTTGATGTACCATGCATTGTACAATCGTTGTGATGTTGTATCGTGCGTTGAATAATTGTCGCGTTGTACAATCAACGCGTTGACCTACCATGCGTTGTACAATCAATGCGTTGTTGTACCATGCGTTGAATAATTGTCGCGCTGTACAATCAACGCATTCTTGTACCATGCATTGTGCAATAGTCGCGTTGTACAATCAGTGCATTGATGTACCATGCGTTGTACAATCAACGCGTTGATCTACCATGCGTTGTACAATCAGTGCGTTGATGTACCATGCGTTGTACAATCGTCGCGTTGATGTACCATGCATTGAGTAATTGTCATGTTGTAAAATTAACGCGTTGATCTACCATGCGTTGTACAATCAATGCGTTGTTGTACCATGCGTTGTATAATCAGTGCATTGATGTACCATGCGTTGTACAATCGTCGCGTTGATGTACCATGCGTTGAGTAATTGTCATGTTGTAAAATTAACGCGTTGATCTACCATGCGTTGTACAATCAATGCGTTGTTGTACCAAGCGTTGTACAATCAGTGCTTTGATGTGCCATGCGTTGTACAATCGTCGCGTTGTACAATCAATGCGTTGTTGTCCTATGCGTTGTGTAATCATTGCATTATTGTAATATACATTATGCACTCGTCGCGTTGTGCAACGAACGCGTTGTTTTCCTATACATTGCACAATCAACCCATTACACTATCTCGCATTGCACAATCTACCTATTATATTGCCACTCATTACAACCTTTGAGTTACAACCTTCAAATCATCAAAGCAACTCATACAATCCATCCAAAATACCCTTAACATAACAGTATAGGTAATAAATACACGTGAAGATCTAATGTTCCGAATGCATCACACATTAATTAAGATTTTAATTAACACTTAATGAATCAGTAATTGATCGGTTTAATGCAACGTAACGATGAATCTACATATAATAACGTATCGTTAATTTCTTCTTTCCAGATCGGTGAATCCTAAGGGAATCGAAGTACACCGCAGGACTTGTCGGTAAGTAATTTACTGAATTCTATTAGAGTAACACCCGTTGGTGAAACTCGAGCGAAACTCTCCGGTCAACGACACGGGTTCATTTTTTCCTAGTTCGTTCGCGTGCTTACAGACGGTAACTGTGTTGTCTGTCGATGCTTCCTACAGTAATTAACTTTTACTGGATACAATTAAACGAAACAGCTGGAACTTTTCTTCGGTAGATCGATTAAGTCTTTTACACGGATAATTATTTTACGAACTCTGTCATTTCAGTCGAAGTATATATTTCAAGGGATATCTTTCGTGCTCTGTTTTGTGTCGCATATTTGTAACAGAATGCAACACGGAGTTAAGTGACACTTTCACTGCTTTTATTGCAGCACTTCTGTGTTTCACGAAACTTTTTGCTCTACTAATTATTTTAGGTATTCGAAAGTAACTAATTGTCTGTAAATGTTTTGTCAGAGGTAAATGAACAATGTCTTTGCAAAAGTGATAGTTATTTTGCCTGAATTATTTTTGTATATATTATATTTTGTTAAAAGTGATTGACTGTAAACAGTATCTTATCAAAGTTAATTGTATGTGATCAATATTTTGCCTGAATTATTTTTGTATATATTATATTTTGTTAAAAGTGATTGACTGTAAACAGTATCTTATCAAAGTTAATTGTATGTGATCAATATTTTGCCTGAATTATTTTTGTATATATTATATTTTGTTAAAAGTGATTGACTGTAAACAATATCTTATCAAAGTTAATTGTACGTGAACAATATTTTGCCTGAATTAATTCTGTATATACTATATTTTGTTAAAAGTGATTGACTGTAAACAGTATCTTATCAAAGTTAGTTGTATGAGAATAATATTTTGCCTGAATTAATTCTGTATATTCTATATTTTGTTAAAAGTGATTGACTGTAAACAGTATCTTATCAAAGTTAATTGTATGAGAACAATATTTTGCCTGAATTAATTCTGTATATACTATATTTTGTTAAAAGCGATTGACTGTAAACAATATCTTATCAAAGTTAATTGTACATGAACAACATTTTGCCTGAATTAATTGTATATATACAGAATTTTGTTAAAAGTCACTGTCTTTAAATAATACCTTGTCAAAGATAATTATCTTTATGAACAATATTTTATCAAAAGTAATTGTGCAAAAATATCCTGTTCATCTACAACTGTCTCTTTTGCATAAAATATTATATCATGTTTACTATAATAAACAGTATCGAACGGTCTACCAAAGTATCCCATAGAACCTTATCAAATTTCCCGAGTAAGGATCTGCTAAGGATTGTGTAGGGTTGAAATTTTCAATATCCTACCAGCGAAATTTATGCCAGCCATCGTAACGATGCTCTGTTTCTTTTTTCTCCTTTATTTGGATTCCTTTAGACTCGAGACTTCCCATGAAAAAAAATCAGCCCACCTAGTCGTTCGAACTTCTCGATTGAACTTCTTTCTTCGAGTATACTATTTACAAGTTTTCCCTTTTCTTACGAATCAGCTGCGTCGCTGAATGGAACGACTATATTCTTTACACGCGTCGCAAACTATCGCTGCAGTGGCGTAACTAGAATACGTTTCATTCTGGTGTTTGGTTACAAACTTATCAATTTTTAAAATTTTTATATTTATGTATTTTGACAGATTCATTATTATGCAAAAATTTGTGAAATTGTGGAGATTTTCTTAGCTGTGTAACTACAAATTTTGGAAATTCCTCAAATTCCTGAATCTTAAAATTTTTCAAGTTCATTTTCGAATTCCATAAAATCCCTAGATTCTTTAAATTCTCTAGATTCCCTAAATTTCCCACATTTTCCAGATTTTCCAAATTCCCCAGATTTCCCAAATCCCCGATTCCCCAAATTCCCCGGATTTCCCAAATCCCCCGATTCACCAAAGTCCCTAGATTCCCCGAATTCTCTGGATTCTCCAAATTCTACCGATTCCTCAAATTCCCCAGATTTCTAAAATCCCCCGATTCCCCGAATTCTCTGGATTCCCCAAATTCTCCCGATTCCCTAAATTCCCCAGATTTCCAAAATCCCCGGATTCGCCAAATTCCCTAGATTCCTCGAATTCTTTAAATTCCCCAAATTCTCCCAATTCCCCAAATCCCCACATTCACCAAATTCCCTAGATTCCCAAAAATTCCAAGATTTCGCAAATTCCTCAAATCCTCCGATTCCCCAAATTCCCCACATTTTCCAAATCCCCCGATTCACCAAATTCCCTAGATTCCCCAAATTTCCAAATTCTCCCAGTTCCTAATTTCACAAATTCCCCACATTCCCCAGATTCCCAAACTCTCGCAACTCCTAATTATATAAATTCCCCAAATTCTCAAAAATTCCCTAAATTACTAATTTCATATTGTCCATACTACACTTAAGAGTCCTATACAAACGAATTTTGCAATTTCCCTTTAAAAGTAAAAAAAAATGTTTCCATATGCTTCCCTTGCTCGTAAAATTTTGTTTGTCCTTTGACCCTTAACGTTGTTCGACACCAACCCTCGATTTAACGATCGTGTTTCAATATCCTTTCCGATACGACTGCGTATTTCTGCGTCTGGGAGTAAAAAGGGTCTGCTAGTCAGTAAGGTTCCAAAGGTGTATCTATCAAAAATTCGTGGCACGCCCTTCGAAGTTGGTTCCCTCGGCGCTACTTTACCTTCGAGAGCTTCCATCCACCTATTCTTATGCGAGCTGGAGGACACGCGATCGAAGGGAATGTCTATGTTTCCAGGGACGAGTTGCGACACGAAAATTCGTGTCCCTCTCGTACGCTGCATTTATGGACGTGGTTTCGAGGACGTACGGGGACATAATTTTATACGAACCGCTTTGTTGCGTGGTTTATGCTTTGTACGGAGCGAAATGATACACATACGCTCGCCAGCGTGTCCTCGCTCGAGGGTCGGATACCGAAGGAAACACCAATTTTTATTCATTTCTCCCGTTCGCTACGATACTTCGGGGACGATGAATATTTGGCTGTTTAGCGAGGACGCATCGTCAGGGAATTGGTTATTTTCTTCGTATATCTGTACGGATATCTCAAGTTGCGTATGTGGATAATACGTGGTTATCTTCGTATCTATTGGTTATTTGTTATGACGGTTTTATCGATGTTGCAGTTCTTTATAGCTGATATTGGTATTTTGTGGATGCATATGCTTTTTCAAGATTATAAATCTCCGAATTCCTCAATTTACTAATCTGACACCTAAAAATCATTAAATACCGAATTCTTACATTATAAAATCCCTAGATGCATTAACTTATACCTAATAGCGTATGGGTACAAAAATTCCTACACACAATCATTTGTCCACTATATATGTTAATAATTATATATGCATTAAAACCTCAAAATTTAATAATTCCTAGGACCAATCTGAGGATTTCTATGCAAAGTCCCTAGATTTAAAAAAATCCTTAGATTTACCTGTCCTGAGCTCGAGACTCCCCTGTCTCAAATTCAAAAATTCCCTAGATCCAAAAAAATCCCTGAATTCAAAAATCCCTAGAACACAAAAATACTTATATTCAAAAAATCCCTAGATCCAAAAAAATCCCTAAATTCAAAAATCCCTGGAACACAAAAATACTTAAATTCAAAAAATCCCTAGATCCAAAAAATTCCTGGGTTCTAAAAATCCCTCGATTGCAAAAATCCGTAGATCGTAAAAATACCTAAATTCATAAAATCTCTAGATCCAAAAAATACCTAAATTCAAAAAATTCCTAGGTTCTAAAAATCCTTCGATTGCAAAAATCCGTAGATCGTAAAAATACCTAAATTCAAAAAATCTCTAGATCCAAAAAATACCTAAATTCAGAAAATTCCTAATTTCTAAAAATCCCTAAATTCAACTGTCTCCAGGTACGAAATACCCCAAATAAAAATCCTTGAATCCGGAATTCCTTATATTTGACAGTCTACCAAAAACCTCAATGCTCTCACATTCCCCAAAATCCACAAATCGTCGATTGTCCTCCGCATTCACAAATTTCTTACCTGTCGATCTCGAAATTGCAAGATCAAGCAGATATTAGCCCATCCCGAAGGTCCGATGTGTCCAATAAATTTGTGGAAACGTGTAGGAGGTGCGCAGCACCGTCCGCTACTATACTTTCCGTAGGAAAGCCAGATTTACCGTTCACCGTATCGTTCGATACGTCCACTCTGTTTCCCGCAACATCTCTAAATCCCTCTCGAGCTCGCCAGAAGATCGCTGGCGTCTCGCTCGCCGGCTTGGTATTCCGCGAGCGTTGCCGCGCGTGAACTCGTCGATGGCGCAGAGTGTCAAGTGCGCGCGTCTTCGATGTCGTACGTGAACATACTACGCAAACGTCCGTGTTTGCGGCTCTCGGGGTCGTCGTTTCCTCACGTTCGACCTTTCCACGACACCGGACCCGCGGACGAGCCACCGAACGATTTTCCGAGCTTTTTATTTGCCGGCTTCCGTTTCGGTGATAGCGGCTGCTCGATACCACACGATTTCGTAATGCCGAACGCATTGCGTGCCATTTCTCTGACGCGAAATCGGCTACGTGGCAAACGGCAATCAAAGGCCATGGGCGGCCGTGACGGGACATCAAAATGAGACCCGTGTCTGATCTAGGATCGCCACGGGTATAATCGCTCGATTTATTTGCTCGGTACTTTTTTACGATTCGTTTTAAGTCTGATTCTATGTGTTTATTCGATATTTACTAAACATACTGACACATAATGTGTACTCAAGTTGAAATTAAAAATGAAGTTCGAATATAAATATTGGACCAATGATCATAGCAGTCGGGGCCCTTATAAAATCAATCAATCAATTAATCAAAAAATAAATAAACAAACGATGCAACATAAATTAGTACACACATTTAGCCTTCATTTTGATGAAAATCAGTGCTGATTTCAGGGAATGTATTTTAACAAAATGTGTACCTTATGATGAGAAACTTATGAAGCGGTCATTTAACCGGTCT